TGGCTGAAGAGTTGCTGCTGCGGTATCAAGCTAGTGCAACTCTTCTGCAGCCAGCTTACCATCGCCATCGCGCGTCGAACGTCCAATAAACGACTGCCAAACCCAATCACTGACCGACTTGGAGCCAACCGTTGAACTCGCTGACTTCAGAATGGCCCTGAGTTGTAATCAATATGTCACAGGCTGCAGGCGCAGTCTTTAATTTTCGACTCCACTTGGACCCGACGTGTCAAACGCGATTACCACGACGTTACAAAGCCGAAGCGAATGAATTCTTCACCGGATGTTGACTTAATGTTCTTCTTCGACTGCACGCGCACCCTAGAAGAAGTTGCCCGTCAATGCAAAGCCACTGCGGCTATTCGTTGTCAGATTACGTCAATCAACAGTGGTGTACCCTGCTAATCTGAAGCAGTTTCGAAAAAGCCACCGCTCTTCGACTTTCGAGTACCGAGAGCGTGGTTCAGCGGCTGCTTCTGACCTCTGACAGAGACAACTCGCGACGAACGTCGTCGGTAACGAGGAACGGAACGCCGTGATGCGTGATGAGTACACAAATTGAGCAACTCCATCAGGTACTGCCAGCTATCGTATAAAAATGTGCTGACATACACCGGTAACACATCATACAAGATAGCTGAAACAGATTCATTCAACGATGGCCACACGGGAGAATACTCAGCCACCGGGAACACCCTAGGTGGGCATGGCAAAGCTTTGATTGTACACTGATACCAAATACAGGGTTACGCACCTACTTGAGAAGAATTCTAACTGCTGCTCCCTCTTGAAGTCAGTCATTGAGTCATGTGGTGATTGCAACCATGGTACGTTGAAGCACAGAGGACATGTCACAAAGATGCCGTCTAATTACGAGAAGCTTCTGACGGCCTGACCCCCATTCAACTCGTAAAAATCTCGGTTCCGCTGAGAGAGATGGCAAAACGCGCGACCTTGTGTTCGACCTTCCTGGCGTTTGAATAAAATTTACACGATTGCAGCTGCCACGAAGGTCATCATCATATTGCATGGTCATAATCGCTGTAGCGCTAGCAATTTATTTGGCGGGGCGAGGACGACAAAAGCGTTGTCGTTGTCGTTGTCGTTGTCGTCGTACTCGTCGGTCGGGTTGTGCCGCACTTGACATTTAACCATCAGAGCGCGCAGTTGCCACCGGGGTCGCTTTACCCTACCCCACCCCACCCGGTCAGCTCAGCCGTTCGTCGTGGACGGGGACCCATGGTCGACCGTTCAGCCGTACTGAAACCCAACACTGGTCGTATTAATCAAGCGCTTAAATTTATCACTCGCAGAAAAAAATATGTGCCAAATTTTGGATCTTCAATGTGAAATTCGCCCTAAATTTGCAATCGGTCGAAAATCACATCTGCCACGCGTGAACAGTGGTCTCGCCGTCGAATAGTCACCGCGGGTGGTCAGTGACGCTCGTCCAAGTCGTCGTCGTCGTCGCCGTCATGGTCGTTGCCACTGCCACCGTCATGCTCAAACAATAACAAATGAATCTCTCTTGAAACGACTTCAGCACCACCACCCTCGCTCATTTTAATCGTACTCCTAACTCGCTACTTCCCCATCACCAGCGCCAATGGCCTGACGGTCGTACGGTAATCTGTTGCGCGATATTTATCGGTCGGTCAGTCGATCGACTAGCTGACCTACCAGCCCATCACGGATCGCTTAGCCCGATTGGTTGATCAAACCTTTCGCACTTTATTGTCATGCGATTATCGGTCTGTGAAAGCTTTACAATACACCACATTTTGTCGCCTTTCTGCCAAATTACCAACCACCTGCCTGACATGGTTTACGACCGTGCCATCGTAACCGTAACGGTTTGTCATCAGCCTTCTGTGACCACTTGTTTTTCACGATAGCGGCACTTTTCAGAGAGCATCGCGATTCGATGGCGAGTGCAGTCTTGACGATGACGCGCTGATCGAACGTTCAAGAGGAGCACCGGAGTTAAGAGAGGTGGAAGCACCGGAAACGTTGTCATTCACCACCGACGGACCGGCCTAAGGGAACGTGATCATTGTCGTCGTGAAAGTCCTCACCTCGTTTGAAACGGGTCACTGGAGGCAATTCAAGTCGCTCGGCCTCCATTGTAAGCGACACTTTCGAACACATAACCTGGCATGACTTTGCGGGACATTTTGACGTAACATGTTGACCTCGGCACAGAAAGCATTTAGACAAAAACAGCGACTGACAACTGTAGCAGAAGGTGTCATTGTAGCGGTCGTCGTCTGTGTCGTGCCTTGCGACGTGCAACGGAACCGGTCTAGCTGCTACCTGCAGCCCGGAGCTGATCAAACACATGTCATAGATTCGTGATACTTTGAACCGAGCCTGAGCGCGAACTTGATGAACACCAACTCGCATCCCACAGGCCTCCCTTCCTGGTTTACGGTCACAAAATCAAATGATGAGTCTTGACGAAACGGGCCAACATCAATTGCCAAGGCAGGTGGGTGAGACGGGAGCAGACCTACCCTACCATTAGCAAAGTTATACCGGGTAAAGCGCCTCGTAATTCACTGTTTCACGAAGATTAGATAAACAAGTAGTGGTCAAGCGATGAACCACAGAAACGAGATACTGTGGACTCTAACGTAGTGAACAATCAAACCTCAGTTATTGATATAATGGGCTCTGCCGCCCGAAGGACCGTCGCAGTAGTTGACACGACCCCGTTGTCGCGTGTTTTCTGAGAGTTCGTTTGAGTGAGTGTATAACGTTCATAGTCGTCACAAGTGCGGACAAGGCAGAACAGCTTTTTAAAACCGACCCTCTGCTACTTCAGCATACGCAGCAGCGGCGGCAAGTGTCAACAGTAGTTGAACATCAAGCAACGCTGCAGAACGAAGGCGACGACATGCGACCCGATCACTTTTTATACAGAGACGTTCCTCTGTCACCTCGCAAATTGTCGTCGCGTCCTGAGGACATGTCCCCCTCGTAATCGCCTTCTTGTTTATATTTATTGAACGGTCGATAAACACGATGACGAGAATCACAGGCATCAGTGCTGTATAGCATTTCTGGTGGCCGTTGGCCGGAACCCGTCGTCGAACTTAATAAGCAGAAATTTGCGCACATGGTTTGTTATGAAGCGGTCATCGAACTAACCTTTAGAGAATTATCGCCAAAGTCGTCACTTCTTCCTCCAACGGTGAAAACGACCCGGCACAACGACGTACACGGTAATTGAAGCTTTGTCCGTTTCGAGGATGAGTGATCGCTGTAATGGCGGTAACAACGGTTTGCATGTGTGACAATGGGCGCTCGACCTGTTCCCTATGTGTTTTGCTTATAAACAAACCTCGCCCGTGCTCTACGGTCGTTGGTTGACGTTCGAGTGTTGGCGGAGAGCAGCGAAAAGTGGATCAGCACCCGAAAATCATCGCAGAGCGACGATGGGACACAAGTCACTCTGTACGCAACGAACCACGTGACTTCTGAGGTGAATTTCAGTTCTTGACCTCACCTGGTTTTTAGGCGCACGAAGTGGTTGCATTCATCGGACGGACGAAAGAGCGGTGTTAGGCAGACTCTTGACTTACAGAAAGCGTTCGTGCCTTGGCAGAGAGCGTCACTGATGTGTTGAGCCAAACTCCTTCGCGCCACACGAATAATTGGTAAATGGAAATCAATAAGGCGGATAATACGTCTTCATACAGTACCGCAGTGCGCAGA